GAATATGTTCCTTCTCTCAGTTTCTTGCATACCCCGTCTACCGGTACATTATTCAATATCGCTTTCGCGTGCAAAACTTTCACCCTTTGTATTTTTTTCTTGCATGTCGCACGAATGCAAAGCATCACGATTTTTTTGACATAATTTAATGATGTGCTTCATAAAATTTCGCATAAGAATATTTTAACTATCAATAGATACGTACGTTAATGCTTTAATTGCTTCGTCAGCTTAAGTTACTATAAGTAACTGGCTCGCGCTGCCAGTAATTACGCGGCGGGATATTCAGGGCACAGACCGTGATCATAAGATAGCGCAAATAGAAAATAGAAATTAGAAAATAGACATTGCATGTGAACGAAGCCTTAGTACCGAAAGTCTTGGTCCCAAAAAATGTATGTGTCGTCTGAAAAACGTTCACGAAATATTGACATGAACTCATGCGCATGCAATGTTGAAGTACATGCTACAGTTGATATTCAAGGAATAATACAGGTCACACTAGACGTGGTTATGAATTTTAAACACCCAAAAGTAATGTAAGTTGTTTTTGTCTAAAGAATCTTAGGTTCAACGATGCTAGATTCACTCGACAGAATAATGGCGGCACCAAAAGCGGTTACGAATGCCCAGAAGAGAGAGACTACTATCCCTATTGGTACCATTCCCCTTGGAAGGTACGTATACATCGAGGTTATTTGCATATTGGGCTAAACTAGTTGTACTCGTGTTTAATTCAATATGTCCTAGCTTTGTTGTTCAAATAGAACTAAATTCGAGGCCTTAAATCGCCTATACTGGTGACTCAGGTCCTTTATAATGTGGTTACTCTCCACCAGGGGTCTCTTCAGTCGTCTCTACAGCCATGTCAATATTAGACTGCATTCCTCTAATCCTTTCGTACCAGCAGGGTCGATTAAACACAAAGTGGATTATCGCTAATTTGCATTCAGTTTAAGCGGCTTATTTATCTACCACGCCTACTGAAGCTGCTGGGTGTAATTAACTTTCGTGCACGCTTAAATTGAATGCGATTTAGCGAGAATCCCCTCGGAGCTAGATCGATCCTGCTACTTCGATAGGGAATGGTCCATTAGATGTACAACGCTTTCCACCTTAGATGAACAACGTTATGCCCTCATTGCGACAACGGTCGGATTTCAGTAGCAGTTATCTTAGCTTTGTCTCGATTTTCATATTATTCCTTTTCATTTTTGTTGGGAAAACAAGGGGTATCTCATAAGCTAAGGAGGGGAGTAACACCTGGTCCACTGCCCCCCCCCCCCCCCCCCCCCCCGGGGGCCGTCAATGTTCTCGTGTTTTAATATAATTATGATATTTAACTCTCTTTAAGGACATCGTCGTCATGACTAATAACGTTGAACGCTGCGACTATTACCAAAAAGAGAGCAACAACGTGAAGTCCAGGTGGGGGTGTGTCGTCGACAGAAACAAGCTGAATCGATTTTATCGCTGGCCTCTTTTTATCATTCCAGACAACAAAGAGGATTGTGAGGTAAGTGCCATTCATATGCCAGTAGGCAAAATTGAGGGAAGCTCAAGAAAGCTACTTATGAAATACATTTGAAACAAAACAATTTACAAGCCTATTTTATATTCATTTTCTTTCATGTTTGATCTACACTGTACAGTCATTTGCAATTTATCATCTTTCCTGGTATTTTAGAATTTCGAAATATTCAGACAGCCGGTAAGTGCAAATTGGACTGAATTTCCCGCTCACGACATTCCGCCGCCAAAGTGTATCAAGGCCCCCTGGTCACGTGACAACCACAACGGCAACGGGATTGGAGGAAATTTCAATACATACGATTGGGTAATCCCGGAGGGTATTGCTCATGAGAAATGCGTCTTACGGATGAGGTAATTAGCTTGTCCAATAATTATAAATTACATGAAATAATCTACTCTACAAATATTATATCCGGCAAATAAAAGAGATTTAGCATATAGTACATCTACAGGTAGTTTCTACAAAACATCGACTAAAATGGTGCATTCCTGTATTTTTGTAGTCTAATTCTTTAAAAAAAAAAGCAGCTCTCCGCTTTAAGCTGCTGTTTTGCAATTGAAGAAACTATTATTGTAACTGTGGCTCTTGCCACGTCGATCAGTATGACTCAGTGAATGTGAAAACAGAATCTTTTATAACCGCAATTGTCATTTGTGTAATAGGTAATCAAATTCGCCTTGACTGAGAATTTGGAATATGCAATTGGAAGTCTGTTGATATGTTTTAGAATTTTAAGTGTTATATATCATATATTATTTATTTGTGCATAGCGTTGATGCGTTTTTTTCAGGACAATTTAAAGGAATTCTTAATAATAATAATAATAATAATAATAATAATAAAAATTATTATTATTATTATTATTATTATTATTATTAATTTTGCAGATACAACATTTCTACCAACGATTACGAATCTTGGAACACAGACGCGTCTTCCAACACTGATAGCGACACAGACGGTTCCAAAATTGACCTTTCAAAGACCTTCAAACTTCCCAACAAGGAAACTGCTGAAGCACGCGGCTATGTCTTCAAGAATAACCCGGATGTTCAGATGTTTCCGGGCCTCGATGTGAAGCTTACATTGGCCATCAACACGGCTCAGTTTGGACGGACTTTCCAGGACAGGCAGGCTTTCCTTTTAAATAGTATTCTGGAGAAGTAATGCTGCTGATATGACTAACTATAACGAATAATGTGCTTGTATTCTTCAAGATTCATCTCTGTAACATTATAAATGAACATTTTTATAAAATGCTTGCGTGTTACGGATCCGATCCAGCAATCACAGAACCTTATCATACACTACGTCACGTATCAAATACTGAGGAAGTAAATTTATCAGTTATTGGTGAATTTACAAAGCTATGATTGGTGACCGTAGAAACAATACATACCAGTCAGGGTTCTTAATGAAAATAACCACAAAATAACAAGCAAAGATTAAGTAAATGTAATTATTAATTAATAAATGGTGAATTTTCAATTCATTTGTTTTTTTAGGTCTCATGTGTTTGAAATTAGGCAGAGACCCGCCGAGCTGAAAGATGTCACCATCCACAATTTGAACGTGAGAGGAAAACGCGGGAACAACCAACAGGTGTACCCAGCAGTGGAGTACGACTTTGTCCCCAACACCTTGGAAATAAACACAAACGACTACGTTCATATTCAGTAAGTTGGCTGTAACTTTATACATCACAACATAACATGTGGCTTACACGAGCTCAGTTGTTGCCAAGTAAAGGTAACAATTATTTTAAAAAAAAACAATTGGACAGTTTAATTCGCAGTGCAACGTGATAGATGCTCCAAGTTTTGTATAAGAAACTGGCGATCTTGAGCATTCCTTACAGACATTATGATGATTATTTTCAAAGCTTTTTCCGTTTACCTCAACCGCACTTAAAGGTACATACGAACCGAGCATCGGTGGAGCGAGGATTCCCAGTAACACTTGTAAACCACTTCTACTAGATTCTTATATGACTCAAATAAATTCGACATGCCAAGGGATAAACTGAATAGATCACTCGATCAGCCATAAAAGACCTTTAGACTGCTCCTTTCTTTAAATTTATGGTTGTAAATTTAACCTACTTTCGTGACCTACTTTCCTACCCCATTGACATACAGCTTAGAATGCAAGCAGAAAAATCCGTTCAAACATCATTTTCGGGTAAAATTAAACAATGCTTTTTGGTAATTCTCTTAGTTATACTACTTGAAACTATATGCTGTCATTTGGTTGGTTTTTGTGACAAAAAATTGACTTTGTATGCATCTTTAAATTTACGTAAAAAATAGTACCTGGGTATTCAAACAACATAGTTCAATTACTTCTAAACAATACTGATAATAACATGATAGTGTACTTACAATTTATGTGCTTTCCAGTCAGTTTTACACAAGACAGTATCATATTTTGTGGTTTTAGGATAGCTTATAATAAAATGAAAATGAATAGGAAGTGGAATAGATAAAAAACGACGTCAGAACAAACAGATAAACCGATAAATGAATGATGACTATATATATATTTTTTTCTTACCAGATGGACAGGGTCGGATAGAAATCCCCACAACAACGCCGGAAATGGCCGAAGGGGCACTGACCGTAACAACATGGTCGTGCTTAAGAACAAGGTCTACCCAGAAGGAACGCCCGGTCTGGCTTACGGTGGACTGGATGTCCTTGGCCAGTATGGAGCTAACTATCCCATGCACTTGGATAACGTGACACGTCTGATCGGGGCATCGACAGAAACGAGAGCTGTCCTCCAGAAGATGGCGCTGTTGGCACCCCGTAAGTGCACTGAAGGCAAAGTTCTTTGAACGAATTTTTATATGATAAAAAACTCGTGTAAGTTAAGGTTGAAGTGGAGAGCGTCAGCACTTAATAATGACATTTGTATAGGTGTGAGTAGTGCACCGCGAGAATTACGCTTACTTTGCAATTTTTGTTCCTTTTGTTATATTTTAGCCCGATACGGTGGTCACATGTTTCTGTTGGACAATGCCAAAGCCTACTATGACGTAGGTCCTCTTCAGTTTGCTAAGGAGGGCGTGTTCCACTATATGTGTACCAGAAATAACGCCTTCACCAACAGAAGCCAGAAGGGGAGAATCATCGTTCGTGACGCTTCATCAAAATAGGTCACAACTTCGCTTGAATGAGAGTGCTTCCTTTCTTTTGATATGAATTATAAGAGGTAAATAAGGATAGTACTATTTTTGTAGATATTCTTAATTGTATTTTGATAAGTGTCTGGAAATATAAGAAAAAAGGAAATACGGATTTGAAATACGACGAACTAATCATTAAATTTTTAGTCTCGCAGAAATTTGGCATATGGGCATTCTGCTTGGAGAGCTCAAGGTTGACTTGTAGAAAATAATTAGAAAACGAAGCAGGTAATATTTCGTGAGAAATTAAAGCGACATTTGTTTAACCATAGAAAAGTTTGGAAAGATGTGGAATCATCTGTGTAGACGTTCCTTACCTAAAAATTCAACAAGAAATAATTACAATTTCCATTCGAAAGTTCTGATAAGAATAAAGAAAAAGAATCTGACTCGTTTTTGTTTCAATTTATTCAATACCAAAACAGTATAAACTGCAGGAAATTTGAAACGGACACACATTCCATACACACCGTTAACGTGTTGGAAAATATTACTGCATTCCAAATATTATCTTTGATTTACAAGTAAACAGCATATGAATGCCAAGAAATAGATGCAGGAAAATCGGCAGAATACATGCACATGAACAGTACAGTGGGTACATGTATAAGCATCACGTCATGCAATATTTATTAGTTAAACTCTTTTCAGCTTTTCATTGCCATTTCCATCGCGTTGCCATTGAAAAATATGTGATATCTGTGTCAACGACGGCTTCTTCAATAGACCGTGCTCAAGTGGGTTTAGTGAGGGGGGGGGGGGTTCGCCAACCCTATTACACACCCCAACCCACCCGAACGCAGACTTCTACTTGCCGTGCATTGTCTTTAACAGATGTGCTTTATCGTACAACAAGGCACTACAACAGACCTGGTATACATCATCAAGAAAGTGGGCTATAATGTCACCGAAAATGTTGCCATGGTGATGGCTATACAACCGGTTTGACTCGCTCAGTTTAATGGATTTCATTTCTTCCGCTGTCACCTACATGTACCAAGTACGCTGATACATAAAGTTCTGTATGTGACGTTTTTATGCGAGATTTTTTCCGCACAACAGTATATAACTACCATACTACATGGTTCGAACGCTCATCGTTCTCTTTTTCTATCCTTCTCTATCTTCCATGGTGGATTGGTTAAGATAATACAAATTGCAATATATTATTTTATCATATCTAAAACCTTTTCAAAATGTAAAATTAGAATACGTCAGCGAGACTACAACAGTAACTACCACACTACCCCTGTGGATGGCTTGGACGCTCATCGCTCTTATCCTCCATTACTCTCTAGCTTCCATGGTGGATTTGTTAAAACTCTCTTTTCAAAATGGTATTCTTATCAAAATACGTCAGCGAGACTACAACAGTAACTACCATGCTAGATGGTTTTGACGCTCATCGCTCTCTTTCTCCATCACTCTCTATCTTCCACGGTGGATTGGTTGAAACTCTCTTTTCAACATGTGATTCTTTATTAAAATACGTCAGCGAGACTACAACAGTAACTACAATGCTAGATGGTTTTGACGCTCATCGCTCTCTTTCTCCATCACTCTCTATCTTCCACGGTGGATTGGTTGAAACTCTCTTTTCAACATGTGATTCTTTATTGAAATACGTCAGCGAGACTACAACAGTAACTACCATGCTACAATGTAGATGGTTTGGACGCTCATCGCTCTCTTTCTCCATCACTCTCTATTTTCCATGGTGGATTGGTTAAAACTCTCTTTTCAAAATGTGATTTTTATTAGAATACGTCAGCAAAACTACAACAGTAACTACCACACTAGATGGTTTGGACGATCATCGCTCTCCTTCTCCATTTCTCTGTATCTTTCATGGCGGATTGGTTAAAACTCTCTTGGGATTCTCGTGGGAGGTGTTGGTCTACCCAGGAGTTCTTTTTAACGCTGTTTGGATGCACCTGTGGCTCATAATTCTATCCCTTGGCCTAAATCACAAATTTATTACTCTGCTCGAGATCATCCTGGAATCAAAATTTAAAATGTGTGGTCACGCCCATCTCCTTTTCTCATTTAATGACAAATCCAAGTTTCTATGGTATTATTTAAAGGCAAAAATCAAGAGTGGCATCTTTTAACTCATTTCTGAAAGTGGCGTCTTAAAAATGACAAACATGGTGTCACTAAAACAAGTTATTTAAAAATGACCTTTCATCTAAATGAAATAGAATTCAAGTTTAAAAGGTTATTCATAGTCAAACATGTAGCTATCCTTGACTTAAATCTCAAGCTTAATTAGAAAAAAAAACTAGCTTGATTAGAAAAAAGATCATTTGTGGACCCTGCTTTACACAATCCATTACCTTATGGGCGGGAAAGAAATTGGACGAGGCGATTTTGGGATGAATTCACTCGCTGACGTCATCTGCTTCTTTCACATAGATGATTTTTGCCCCTCCATCGTCATTCTCCACCTCCCCTTCTTCTTTGCTTCCAGCTTCCTCTGATTCTTCGCCTTCGAAATTTACGAAATTAATCGTAATGCTGCTGTCGCGCACGGGTTTGCGCAAGGCAACTTCCTTTCCATAGCTGGAGCTGTCTGAAGCTGCGCTAGATGGCTCTACTGTTGCACCCTCCTCTGCCAAGAAAAGCTTATTCAGGCGTTCATCTCGCGACTCTTCTGACTCTGCAGAGGCATCAGGTGAAACAACGTAGTTCTGCTCGTTTGAACGCCGAGGCTGCTTTGCTGAGATGGAAGGCTCGACCTGTATGAGTGTTACACGACGAAAAGTTAAAATATACAAATTGCAATATCAAATTTTATCACACTTATTTAAAAACTTTTCAAAATGTGATTTTTATTAGAATTCGTTAGCGAGACCAAAGGCCTACATGGATTTTAGCCTACCTTTGAAGCACAACAGCAAAATATTGCCTTGAAGGCTTGCCATTTGGATCGTGTTTTCTTTTCCTCCTCTTTCCGTGTCTTTTCTTCAAAAGCCTTCAATTCTTCAATTGTTTTCAAATATGCTGCTCTCTCTGAGGAGGTACTTGAATCCGGACTTTTCCTAAAATATCGTTTATAGTAGACCTATTGTCATTGTTTATGTTAAGAAGCGACTTAAAATAATAATAATAATATGAATATGAAAAAGGTTATCTATTGTCTATTGTGTAACGATAATTAATAAAAAAAAGTAAATCTTTCCCTCTTGGGCAGAAAACACATTTTGTCCGCTTTGAACAATTTACGTTATTATCAATAGTGATAATAATATCAACATAAATTTTCCAATTAATATTTAAAGTGCACATCTGAAATTGATTTGGGTTTGTGCTCGTAAGAAAATTTAATAAGTGTTTGTCAAATGCATTTTAGGGTATAAATATAGTGAATGATTTAAAACATCAAATTACAAGTAAGAATTAAAGTCGCAATACTTAAACGGAAGAAACACCCTTAATATCGGTAACAGTTTACCTCTGTTAAAAACAGCACAAGTTGGAGTTGTGCTACGGACTTTTTCAACACTCCGAGTAGGGTAAACAAAGTAAAACGATTTTAAATACATATAATTTAAACAAAACATTAAAGCTTACCGGTCAACCACAGTCCTTGCATCGTCAATGTCCGCACTCGTGCAGCCAGTGTCTTTGATCTTTATAATAAAATAACAGAAAAATATAGAATAAAGGTTTTCAGTGACATTCAGAGAATAAACAAAATCGCAACCTTGAAACATCAACTGAATAAATAATTACAACACATATTTGAGTGATGAATTATAAATGTAACTATTTAGGTAGGAGTCATCTCTTGCAGGTCCAGTCACGGTGTGAGTCAAATGTTGACTAGAGACATGCATGTAAATACATTATATTTAATTACTTTTTAATCTGTGAGTCAGAAGATACCAGAAGCATTAGCAGAGAAATGGTTGAATGTCGTGACATCGAGGCCCGGATATTCAACCGAAACAAATCATAACTTGTGTTTAGCCAACATCTGTTGTCTGTCAAATAGGTCGACCAGAAATTATCATTAAAAAGTTTTTAATTTTGCATGAGCTAAGTAAGTAAAAAATTCATTTTCCAATAATGAGTGTACTGTCGGTGCTGAGCTTACTAATGCGCCGATTCTAGTGGTATAATAGGACGTCATAAATGACTTCAACATGCACCTGAACTATATTTTATGGGCAAATTGTAGGTGACAAAAGTCATGAAATATTGTTTCTCTGTGCACATAGTTTTCTACTCCCGCTGTGTGTCAAAGAGACAAAATGCAAGAATTATCTCCGTGCTGAGCTTACTTTGGACTTTGGACACCCTTGCTGAATAAGTGCTCCCTTTGGTCGAGGACCAATATGGCTTGGTAGAAAAAACATGGCCGGACTTTTGACAATGGGTGAAGATATATGAGTCACGTACCTGACCGAGCTAGGGCGCCTGCGGTGTAACTGTCAAATTTTGTTATTCGTTTTTTTCTTTTCTTTTTTTTTTTTTTTTTTATATTTTTTTGTGGGTCTTTTTGTTTCGTTCACTTATGAGTGTTTGCATGTACAATGTACACACCATAAGATATCTTGCCCCTAGGCATTCTGTCTTTCGTAGGGTGTTGTATGGTTTATAAAATATTACAAAACCAAAATGAAGACATCTTCCTTAGTTTCCAGGCCAGTTTCTTTACAGACCTACAACGTGCGTTAGACCTTTGCATAGCAATAAATTTTCCCATAATTTTTTCATTCATGTTCAACGTATGCAAATATAATCGCGATGAGACCTTTAAAAACATATTTACATAAAAATGTTAGGCAAAACCCAAACTTATTTTGACGTACAAAACAACACAGCTGACGGCCATATTCTCGCAAAACCGGTAGCTGAGCTCGAACCTTTCAGTGCGCAGAGTGCCCCATAAACGTTCATGTTTGTCCTAGCGGATGGCTACTCTTCACATACGAACGCATCGCGTGATATCGCAAGTTATAATTTCTTTGCACTGACATCATTGACCTTGGCATCAATGTGAAAAACGAATCGAACTAGACAAAGGGACGCCATCGCTGCAGAAAGCAGTTGATGAATTCCTTACTTTAGTGCGTGCCAAGGGGACTGCAAAACCGCACTTTGCTCTGGACAGACATTTTGGCACCAAGCGCTATGTTGTTGCAGTCGAAGCAATAGGACAGCGTATGGTGTTGTAACCAATTACTAGCCTACAAATACCTCATCAGTATTATGGGTTCTTCGGAGATATACATGAGGTGTTACCTACGTGGTTTATTGCGTCACTGGAAGATGGTAACCGTGTTAACTCTGTACGTCGTGGCAAACTACTTTCTTTTTAGAACAGATACCACAGGTAACACATGTAGATTGACTTTACTTCATATGTTTAAGAGTAATTGGTGCAATATTTGGCCATTGTATATGCCTTCGTTTTGTCAGCAATCCGTTGGGGAGATTCCGATTGTGTGTACGCAGATACGTGTGTAGAGGCGTATATGGCGGAACCTTGTATGCACTGTGTTAGATTGGCAAATACCTGCTTTTGTGAGTAGTCCATATTACTCTATGTGGTCTATCAGTCTTAATCTACAAAACGAGTTTTAAAATTCTTCTCTCGCTAGATTCTCTGGTGTCTTGAAAACAGTGTATTTACAATTACAATCTAAAGTGATCATGATTTTATTTTACTTGGTATGCTATATGAAGAAAATAGACGACGTAAACATAAACTATCTGCTAACGTTATATCGTAACATAAGCAATGATAAATTACATGTTCCAACATCTGACGCGAGTACACGTTATACGGGTAGGTTAATAGAACAGCAGAACACGGAGGCGGCCCATAATTGTGTTATCAAACATTTACACCCCATTTCCATAGATTTTTAGATCGATCTATCCCTGTGGGGAGTCTCACTAGATTACTGTCAGCTTGGCCGGCTTAAGCGTCCGTCCCGCCTACTAAAAGCTGTAAGGTGGTAATTAACTATGGTGTCCTCTCGGCTGACTGCAATTTAGCCTGAACCCCCAGGGAGTTAGGTCGATCTAAAACTTAATCTAAATCTCTGGGAAAGCACCCTTTGAGTCATTACTGTCCATCTATTCTTGCACAATTGTGAATTGCTTTGTTCCAGAGAAAGATTTCATGCGGTCTGTTTCCGGCGTCTTTGTGACTGCAGCTATAAGCCGAGGAAACGCGTCGGGAATGAACGGCGCCACACCTGCCACTGTGGCCGGTGGAGTAAGTTAACCGAGATATATATTACTTTTTCATTTGAGGTGTCTTATCTGCCATGCAAGCAGTTTGGTTAGCGAAGGAAATCTTATAGCTTAATTATCTCACCACGTGCGCGCCAGACAAGGAATTTCATCATTTCTTTTGTCCCCCCAACCTGTATTCGCTTCTCAATTTATAAAATCAATGTTTTATATCTACTTATATGTGTTCATGTATTGATTCACATATAAAAGATCGGTCAGTTTTTGTTTTTCCTCTCAGTTATTGCACTTTCTTCTCTTTTACTTCAGATAGCCATGAGTAGCGTACCAATGCAATGGAGAGAAAAAATCAAATTCAGACGCCAACATGTTAAAGACGTTTGTCGGAAGTTTAATCTTTCTTATAGCCTTGATGGCAGAGACCCCAACTTTATGAACCGCATTGCTGGCTCGTTGGGTAACTTACTGGTGGTAGAAAAATCAAAGTTTGCATTTTGCTACGTCCCGAAAATCGCCAATACGAACTGGAAGCGCACGTTGCTTGCGCTGGCGGGTGCACTTAGTGCGAATGACATCAGGAGAGTACAAGCAAAGGACGTCCATTATGATCTGGCAGCGAAATACATAAAGCCATTGAATCAATATTCAGTGGCCGACAGAAAACATATTTTGGAAAATTACAAAACAGCTATGTTTTTTAGAAATCCTCTTGAGCGTTTGCTCTCAGTGTTCAGGAACAAGATTGAAAACAAGCCGTATGAACACCCCGAAATATTGTCACTCGTGGGTAACTATGTCATGTCGCGCTTTTTGGGTTTAAAACCTGGATTTCCGATAAGGATAGAACGCCAGAAAGAAAAAATACTAGGCCAGATGCCATCGGGGGAAACATTTGAGGCCGACCTGAAAAATATTCCAGATTTATTTCCAAATATAGACATACGATTTGATGAATTTTTGCGTTATATTATCGAACATCCCAGCAAGATAAATTCCCATTGGGCGCCTCCCTATACCGCGTGCTTTCCTTGTCAAATAGATTATGACTTCATTGGGAGCTTTGACACTTTGGCTGAGGACGCAGAGAATATATTAAGAATTTTGAATGCCGATCCAGGGCTGAAATTCCCGCAAGAAGCTGAAGGAAAGCTAAGGACCGTCTCTTTAATGCAGGACTACTATCATAACATATCGAAGTCTACATTAGCTCAGCTGCAGCAACAATATCGCATAGATATTGAAATGTCGAATTTTACCGATATCCTGTAAATCACTGGTAAATGTGGTGTAAAGTCCATTTATCTGGCCTTGGAGAAAAATAAACAGAACTGTGGTACATTCAGGGGCAGTTTTACTCCCATTGTGCATGCATTATATAACTCGTGAGATCATTTTACATGAGATATGTGACAATATATGTCACCCTCATAAATCCAATCAAAAAAAATAAATAAAAATAAAATTGGCCACTTATGTGAAAGTAGCGATGCTATAAGGATATAAGGATAAGTAAGTATTTACATGAAAGGTTCCACTGACAAATTAATAGTGCGGAATACTTCTGTATAAGGGGTTTTAATGACAGTCTCGCTGTTTCTCTAGATGTCCAATGTCTACCCGTATATTTCTAATCTATCCAAATCTATTATCCAATGTTAAAACGTATCAGGTAAAAATTATGCGATTCACTAAAGCCTAGGTTGCATTTGCCAAGGGCACCGTAAAATAAAACAGGTGTCGGTGCATCCCTTACGTTTGTTTGGTTAAAACAATTTTTCTTAGAATTGCGGTCACTAATCATTTTCAGTCACATATTTTGTCTTGATTGTTCCAATTTTTATCGTTTATTAAATTCTTAACTATTATAAATTTAAGATTAGCCTGACCTAAGTGGGTCAAAATCTAGGGCGAGTACAAATAAATGGGACTCTCTATCATGGGGACTTCCTGTCACGTTATACACCGGGCTTACGTTTTTGGAAAAAGTTTCAGATTGACATAATAGGGTAGGCTACAGAGGGACCGAATCCGGACGATTTCGTACGGCCACCTCTACCTCTGCACGGTCGTCGTACGAAAGTGATATAATGGCAGTGTACAGACACTGTATGGGTATCGCAAAGCAAAATGTAACCAAGGCTTTAGTTTGAAATTTTCGGTACATTGTGTGCATCTGTAGTCGGAAGCTGTGCGAACGCCCCTAAATAATAATAATAATAATAATAATAATAATAAGTAAATGATGTATTTTACCGTTTCTAACGAGGTCAGCTCTTCACTTGCGCCTGAGGTCACAGCCTGCGCCGGAGATGCTCTTGCGGTAATTCTTCCCCTGCGCCGTCGAATGCTATTTAATGCCTGCACAGCAGCCCTATGAAGTCGTGTCTGAATACGTGCGATTCGGGCCACACCCGATTCAACCTCATCCATACTAAATTATTCCTTTAACAATATCAATACTTGAGACTCTACACGAAGGTCGTGTACCAAAGCTACAGTTATTGTAACTAACGTTACGGCAACTGCGGCAGTGCATGACGTCATTGGTTCTTATGACGTCACAACGTTAGCGTTATAGCGGAATAAACGTGCAACAATGAGGCGCTTCATTGTTGATGCAGATTTCAGGTTTTCAGTGTCAAGATTTATGTACAGTATGCACAGTGTATACTATGTATAGAGTTAATTGATATTTAATGTTATGAAACAGAAAATCGCCAGCTGGTTTGGTAGCTATGTTTATTGTAACAAAAACTTTCTATACCGATAGAATCAAGCGTATTTCTTGTTCAACTTTTGGATGAGGCATACCCACACAGGTAATTCCATATCACTGAAATCTTTTTCTTACATGTCGCTTTAGCAGAATCTTTAGCAGAATCTTACTTTCTTCTTTTTTATGATTTTCGACCTCAATTTAAGTTCTATATCACAAATTTCTGTCAGACTAAGAAACTACTTAAAAGTTCGACGTATGTCAAAAACGCATTTTACTTTTTCAAAGCGTCAGATATATATATGTAGAGATTATATATATATATTGCTGTCCTCAATTCATATCGAAAGAAAGGAAGCACTCTCATTCAAACAAAGTGGTGACCTATTTTGATGAAGCGTCACGAACGATGATTCTCCCCTTCTGGCTTCTGTTGGTGAAGGCGTTGTTTCTGGTACACATATAGTGGAACACGCCCTCCTTACCAAACTGAAGAGGACCTACGTCATAGTAGGCTTTGGCATTGTCCAGCAAAACCATGCTGCCACTGTATCGGGCTAAAATATATGGAAAAAAAACCTTATATAATAAGCGTACTTTTTGCGGTGAACCCAATGTTTACAAATATATGTGCTTTCAAAATGCTCACGCTCTCCAATTAAAAATGAACTATAACCCTTGATCCTTGAACGACCAATTTTGCTTACCAAAAAGAGGAATCGATTTGTGTTCAAATATCATACACTGATAACATTTTCTAACTTTTTAAATAGTTTCCCGCCTATAGGGTTAGAGATTGAACCCAAACTGACAATTTACACGCATGACAATAATTTACAATGTGCGCCTTAATTATCAACTGGCACCTCATTAACATTTCAATTACACGGGTCCTTACAACGCTATTGTTCGAACCCGTGACTGAATACTTATTATAAGTCAGTGCACTTACGGGGTGCCAACAGCGCCATCTTCTGGAGGACAGCTCTCGTTTCTGTCGATGCTCCGATCAGACGGGTCACGTTATCCAAGTGCATGGGATAGTTAGCTCCATACTGGCCAAGGACATCCAGTCCACCGTACGCCAGACCGGGCGTTCCTTCTGGGTAGACCTTGTTCTTAAGCACGACCATGTTGTTACGGTCAGTGCCCCTTCGTCCATTCCCGGCGTTGTTGCGTGGATTTCTGTCCGATCCTGTCCATCTGGAAGGAACAAGAAATTATTTATCTACCTATTTCTCAATTCATTCACTTAATGATTGCAAAAATCGTCCATTGCTTTTTAGTCTGTATTTGATCTTTTAAACTACCCATTTTTATCACGAACTACCCTATACAGCCAGAAAAAATATTGGAATATGGATTTTCACGTTGTAAAACCGACTGAAAAGCTACAAGGTGCAACATCATGTCATCATCAATTCTGTTGGTAATTAATTTGTTTTGACCGCTATAAGTTTTCCGTTAATTTCAATGTTCGAAGGAATTATATATATATATATATATACACGAAAGAATTATCACAGTGGCTATAAAAATGTTCACAAAAGTATTCTTGTTTCTATAAAGTATATCTATTATTTTGCGAGTGGANTATATATATATATATATATATATATATATATATATATATATATATATATATATATATATATATATATATATTAATAGAAATTATATATATATATACACGAAAGAATTATCACAGTGGCTATAAAAATGTTCACAAAAGTATTCTTGTTTCTATAAAGTATATCTATTATTTTGCGAGTGGAACAGTTATGTTTCACCGCCACTTAAACTATCCAAATATTTTTTCACAAATACTTATTTTAATTGGCAAAAATTAATTGACATCGTGTGAACCAAATATAGTTTTGCGGTGTACAGAACTACAGCCAACTTACTGAATATGTACGAAGTCGTTTGTGTTAATCTCCAAGGTGTTGGGGACAAAGTCGTATTCCACTGCTGGGTACACCTGTTGGTTGTTCCCGCGTTTTCCCCTCACGTTCAAATTATGGATAGTGGCGCTTTGCAGCTCGGTAGGTCTCTGCCTAATTTCAAACACATGGGACCTGCAAAATCAAAAACACATTGTCCATTCAACAGATGTACCGTTTGTATCTCTGTATTAACTTATCATGAACAGCGATTCATAGGATGCACTGCCCAAAGAGGGTACATTAAGATAGTGATGGATCATGAAAAATACAAGAAAATTTGCGCTCATTTGTGATACTTTGTCACATCAGCATCATGATTTTTCCAGAATATTACTTTGATGGATGGAAGCCTACCTGTCCTGGAAAGTACGTCCAAACTGAGCCGTGTTGATGGCCAATGCAAGCTTCACATCGAGGCCCGGAAACACCCGAACATCCGGGTTATTCTTGAAGACATAGCCCCGTGCTTCAGCAGACTCCTTGTTGGGAAAATTGAATGTCCTTGAAAGGTCAATTTTGGAACCGTCTGTGTCGCTATCAGTGTTGAAAGACGCGTCTGTGTTCCATGAGTCGTAATCGTTAGTGGAGATATTATATCTGAAAAGTTAGTTATAAGAATATAAATAGCATACCGAGTAGTAGTCAGGGTATGAGTTGCCAATCACTCTACTAGAGCAGCTAAAGAATACTGAGCGGTGAGAAAAGAGTCAGATTACAATGATATTTTTTTCATTTGCGAAACAAAAGCTTAAATCGGAGTCCCCGTGTTAAGGGAATGAAAGTACACAAATATTGGAATGCAATTTGTTCTGATTTTAGCTGTATTAAAATTGTTTTGTAGGAACTACTGGTACTGTAGTTGCTAGTGCATTCCCTTTATTTTCTGGATACCATATTGATAAAATCGATTATTTTATGCCACTCTCTATTGTTTCAAGAACCAATTACCTCATCCGTAAGACGCATTTCTCATGAGCAATACCCTCTGGAATTACCCAATCGTATGTATTGAAATTTCCTCCGATCCCGTTGCCGTTGTGGTTGTCACGTGACCAGGGAGCCTTGATACACTCTGGCGGTGGAAGACCATGTGCAGGAAACTCAGTCCACTGTGCACCTACCGCTCTTCCGCGTATTTTGAAATTCTAAAATGCCAAGAAAGAAAAATGATTTGCATACCTGTATGTCGTGTATCAAAAATACAGTAAAAAAGTCTCGTAAAAACCGTATCTTATTTGAAATGTGCACATCACATGCAACGTGCTTCATTCCTCCCCCCCCCCCTTCACCTAATATCATTGACACTTACCTCACAATCCTCTCTGTTGTCCGGTATGACAATATTCCTGCGATAAAATCTATTCAGCTGGTTTCTGTCGATGACACACGACCATCTTGACTTAACGTTGTTGCTCTCTGCTTGGTAATAGTTGCAGCGTTCAACGTCATTGGTCATGACGACGATGTCCTAAAAGAGAGTTAACTACATATGTATTAAAAGACGAGATCGATGGTGAACCCGGAAAGAGGCACCGAAGAACACGTGCACTCCTGGGTTCGGAAATACACCGCCTCCCTCAACAAAAAGTATAACAAGAAAAACGCTG